TACCATCAACTTGGGCATTAGGTTTTCAACATAAAAGTTTTGATAGTTTTATTTATTTATTTATTTACTTGGCTGCTCCAGGTCTTAGTTGTGGCATGTGGGATCTTCGTTGGAGCACTCAGGATCTTTAGTTGAGGCATGCGGGATCTAGTTCCCTGACCAGGGATCGAACCTGGGCCCCCTGCACTGGGAGCTCGGAGTCTTAACCACTGGACCACCAGGGAAGTCCCTCAACTTAAGAACTTTGGGGAGACACAAACATTCAGCCCATAGCAGTGATATAATTTTTGCTTCAACTGTGAAACATAATCAAGAGAAATATGTATGACAAACATACAACAAAAGCTGAGTCAAAATCAAGAGGAGAAAGAAAGCCTATTGTATTTACCTATATTTTTAATTATCATAGTTTTTTTTCTTTTTCTTTCTGAGTTTCCACGTTTCCTTCTTTTATAATTTCCTTTGTTTAGAGAACTCCTTTACTCATTCTTTTAGGATAGGTCTGGTGACTACAAATTCTCTTAGTTTTTCTTCATCTGACAATGTCTTGATTTCCACTTCATTCCTGAAGGGCATTTTCACTGGGTATAGGATTCCCGAGTTGTCAATATTTCATCGCTGGAAAAATATTGTACCACTTTCTTCTGGCCTCCACAGTTTCTGATAAGAAATCCACTCTCATTCAAATTATTTTTTTCTGAAAGGTAATGTGTCAACTCTATCACCGTAGTGTTGGCTTCTATTGATTGTCTTTTTTCATTCAGTTTGAGATCTTCTTGGTTCTTGGTGATTCTCCACTGAAACCTGGACATTTTCATATTATGTCTTTAAATATGATTCTGGGTCTTATCCAAACCTATTTTATTTTTTAAAATTTATTTTATTTACTTATTTATTTTTGGCTGTGTTGGGTCTTCGTTGCTGCGCTCAGGCTCTTCTCTGGCTGCGGCGAGCAGACTCTTCGTTGTGGTACACGGGCTTCTCATTACAGTGGCTTCTCTTGTTGCGGAACACAGGCTCTAGGCACACAGGCTTCAGTAGTTGTGGCTCACAGGCTTAGTTGCTCTGCAGCATGTGGGATCTTCCTGGACCAGGGCTTGAACCCGTGTTCCCTGCACTGGCAGGCGGATTCTTAACCACTGTGCCACCAGGGAAGCCCTAAATCTATTTTAGTTGGCCTTCTCTGACACCACTCCAGGAAGAAAACATAGGGGGTGCCATCTTGTTACCTCCAGGTGGAGGTAGAAATCCAGGTTCCTCACTTGGTTTCCATTGATATTAAATGAAGGGGCTCATCATTACTGCTGATTGGGGGGTTGGAGTTCCAGATCTTCTCACCGTCTCCACTGATGCCTCGGGGTAGTGATCCTTGTTATTCCCAGATGGGGATGAAAGTTCTGGCTCCCTACTTGGCTTTCTCTGATGTCACCCTACAGGGTTGTTGAGGCACCTTGTTACAGGCTGCAAGGGTGGAAGTCTAGACTCCCCGCAGGCTTTGTTGGCAAGAATATAGGCCGGGCCACAGTTTTCTTCTGTGGTATTTGGCTGGAGTTAAATGGTTACTGCTTAAAAATTTTCAGTCTTGCTAGGTGGCCCCTTTCCCGGTCCTTTAGCTACGAAGCAGGCTTTTGTTGGGTCTTTCTTATCTGCACCCATTGGTTTCACGGTTGCCAGCTTCTTCAGATCCATGTCTGATCCATGAGACAAAAAGAAAATCCAGGGAACTTGCCAACATGTCATTCCTTGGGTCCTGAGGTTCTCTCCACGTTTTAGAATCGTATGTTTGTTTTCTATATAGTGTTTAGGGGTTTTAGTTGTAATTAGTACAAGGAATAGAAAAATTTATCTATTCCACCTTTCTGGGAATCCAGTTATTTTGTGAGTTAATGTTTCTCTATCTGAGTTTCTCTGATATTCTCTCGTGATTACATTTGGGTTACACTAATTTAGCCACAGTTCCACAGAAGTGCATCGCAGCAGAAGGCACATGCTGTCAATTAACATTGTTACCAGTGATACTAACTTTGTTAGCTTTGATCGGTTGGTTAAGGTGATGTTTGCCAGGCTTCTCCACTATGACATTACTTTTTTACTTTTTATAGTTAATAAGTATTTTGTAGGGAGATATTTTGAGACTGTGTAAATATCTTCTTACTCTTCAAACTTTCACCAGCCAGTCTGAAAAACATACATTGATGACACTTGCCTGAATCAATTATTATGATGGGTTTTTAAAAAATGTTTATTGAAAAATAGGTGATTTAAAATGTGTTAGTTTCAGGTATACAGTAAAGTGATTCAGTTATACATATATATAAATATAAACATACATATATATTCTTTTTTACATTCTCTTCCATTATAGGTTATTATAGATATTGAGTATAGTTCCCTGTGCTATACAGTAGGTCCTTGTTGGTTATCTATTTTATATATAGTAGTGTGTAATGATAGGTTTCAAATGATGATTTTCCAATTCTATCATTCCTTCTTCACTTATTAATTTACATTTAACTAAAGAAGAGCTTTCCCTTCTCCACCATTCATTCACTCATTCCCTCATTTATCTATATATCCATTTATATCAGCTTATTTATTCTTATATTGTAAATAATAATCTCTCACTATTATTATTTATTTTGATGCTCAAATTGTCCCATATTTGACCAGTGAGATCCCCCCTTTAGTTACCTCCTGTCTCTCTGCGACGTATCTTTATTCAAAGACAACATGATTGTCTATGTAGAAAATCCCAAAGAATCTACCAAAAAGCTACTAGAACTATAAGTGAATATTACAGTGTTGTAGGACACAAGATTTATATGTAAAAATCAATCATATTTCTATATAATAGCAATAAGCAACTGGAAATTAAAATGTTAAAAATACCATTTACATAGCAAAAAATCACAGAATACTTAGGGATAAAACTACGAAAATATATACAAGATTGGTATTTTGAAACTACATTGATGACAGAAATTAAAGAAGACTTAAATAAATGGAGAGACATACTTTGTTTATGTATTGGAAGAGTCAATATTGTTAAGCTGTTAATTCTTCCCAAATTTATCTATGGATTCAACATAAACCCTATCAAAATCCCAGGAGCCTTTTGGGATAGAAATTGGTAAGCTGACTCTAAAATTTAATATGAAAAAACAAAGGATCCAGAATATTGTGGAAACAAGTGGAAATCCATATGCTAAAAAATAAACCTTGACCCTTGCCTTGCAACAGATCAAAACAAACAAACAAACAATCTGATATTAAGAATGGGCAGGGAGCTGAATAGACATTTTTCCAAAGAAGACATACAGATTATCAATAGGTTCATGAAAAGGTGCTCAACATCACTAATTAGCAGGAAAATACAAATCAAAACCACAGCGAGAGGCTTCCCTGGTGGCGCAGTAGTTAAGAATCTACTTGCCAACGCAGGGGACACAGGTTCGATCCCTGGTCTGGGAAGATCCCACATGCCGCAGAGCAACTAAGCCTGTGCGCCACAACTACTGAGCCTGCGCTCTAGAGCTCACGTGCCACAACTGCTGACCCCACATGCCACAACTACTGAAGCCCGCGCACCTAGAGCCCGTGCTCCGCAACAAGAGAAGCCACTGCAATGAGAAGCCCGCGCACCGCAACGAAGAGTAGCCCCCGCTCACTGAAACCAGAGAAAGCCCATGCACAGCAATGAAGACCCAATGCAGCCAAAAATAAAAATAAATAATAAAATTAAAAAATTTAAAAAAAACACAGTGAGATATCATCTTACATGTTAGAATGATTATTATAAAAAAGACAAGAGCTAACAAGTGCTGGTGAGGGTGTGGAGGAAAGGGAATATTTGTGCACTGCTGGTGGGATCAGAAATTGGTACTGCCACTATGGAGGGGCTTCAAAAAATTAAAAGTAGAACTATATTATCAGTAATCCCACTTCTGGGTATATTCCCAAGGGAAATGAAAATGGGATCTTGAAGGGATACCTGCATTCCCATGTTCAGTGGCACTTTCATAATAGCCAAGATATGGAAACAACCTAAGTGTCCGTTTGATATTTCCTCTTAGTTAGCTTAGTAGTCAGCTTATGAGTAGACAGAGAAAACTTTAAATGCCTTGAACCTATAATCCAGACCTTTCCAAAGGGCTGTGTGTGTGTTTTGAGGTATACCTCCAATGTTCCAGCTTGGTCTTCTGGCTTACATACTGTCACCGGCAAAGTCCATTAACAATTTCCAGGAAATAAAAATAGAATCTGCGTAATAATATAAAACTAACTTTTTTTTCCCTTGTGCTTAGTCTAGTTTCACTTGCTCATTGTGTGCCATGTGCAGAGGCCTTCGTAAAGGGGACGTATACCTGGATGAGCCCTCCTTCTCCATCAGGGACCTGCCTCAAAGGGAATCCTGGAAGGTTGTTGGACCCTGGCTGGGAATTTAGTCACACAAATACCACCAGATTCGACCCAAATAAGATTTCTGTTCGGGAGATTTGGAACCAGCCCCAAACTGTTAATGGATTGCTCAAAAGACCAAAATAGGAGCCATCCAAATGGTTCAGACTCTGATATAGCTGGGGGTCTGCCTTGAATTTGTAACAGCCTGTGCTTAAGACAGTCCCTCCTCAGTCAGAATATCCCACAGGAGGTAAGATTGGACTGCCTCTGGTCCAGAGCAGCTTAGGCACGTTAGTTCCTAACCAACTTGGTCTGTTAGGGAGTGGCACAGCTCTCTGAGTCAGGGGTCTTCTCTTTCCTCCTTTCAGCCAAAAATAAGGTGTTTCAGACTTCCTACCAGGTGAGAGCTAAAAGCACGAGGGATTCCCATGGGGTACTCACCAGACCGCTGGGGCAACTGGTATTCTGTGCTGATACCAGGAGGAGAGCTCGTGGAACCTCGGTCGATAATCACCCAGGGTTCACCTCACAAGTTGCGGTGCGGGGGGGCAGTGGGTGTTTCTTGTTCTGGCCAGCAGCTCACAGGTCTTCCAGATATTGGGGGTCCTGGTCTTACAAAGGGCTCACAGGGCTCCCCTGCCTACTTCAGAGGAACTAGCACCAGGCAGTAGGAAAAAAACCTGTCAATTGGAATAAGATAAAGGAAATCATCAGGAGCCAACAGAAGACCTTTCAGCATTCCTAGAGTGCCTCAGGCAATGCCTCCAAATCTATACCACCACTGACCTTGAGTCACTGGAAGGGAATGCAATCCTGAGGTTCTATTCAATTTCTCAAAGTGACCTGGACATGAGGCGTAAGCTTCAGAAACTGGAAATAGAACCAGATAGCCCTGCCTCTCGCCTGGTCGGGGTTGCCTACCAGGTGTTTAATAACCAAGATACAGAGGAGGAAAATTCAGAGGATAAAAAGGTCTGGAGGCAAGTTCACTTGCTGGCTGTTGCCCTCCAATGTCAACTGGTCTGGACTAACTGCCCTCAGAAACTCTCAACTCCAGTGAGTGACTGCTGGCCCACACAGAGGGATAGCAAGGCAAGGAAAGCAGACCCAATCAGTGTGCCATATGTAAACAAGAGGGACACTGGAAGGGAGAATACCCTCGCCACCCCAAAAAGCGACAGAAATGCCAGGTACCAGCCATTACCTTCGAAGGCAGATGATCCAAATAGGTGAAGAATGATGGGGCCAGGGGACTCCTAAGCTGGCACTCCAACTGACCCCTAAGGAACCCATGCTGACATTGGACATAGGGAGAAAGCCCATCAACACCTGTGCCACTTACTTGATTCTGAGCACCAGATCAGGCAAACTCAGTCACAAGAGTTGTAAAATTATGGGGGTATCAGGGAAGGCCCAAGAATGAGCATTCATAGAACCATTCGAATGTAAAGTGGATGAACACATTCTCACTCATTCCTTCCTGTATGTCCCTGAATGCCCTATACCCCTGCTAGGAAGAGATGTCCTACGTATGTTGGGGGCTAACTATCCACCTAATGGGAGACAAACGAGATGGGTGTTCCCCTAGACAGGGGCACAAGGTGATAATGGTAATGGCTGAGGAAAAACCTCCCTAGACAGAGCAAGCGACCTCCTTGGAGTAAATCCTGAGGTCTAGGCACAGGGACGGGTGGGACTAGCTGTAGGAGCCAGTCCCGTGAGAGTCCATCTAAAACCCGGACATACACTGCCATCCCAGATTTAGCTCAAATATCACAAACTAGGGTGTCCTACCTAGGCTTCATTCTCACAAGTCAGAGAAGCCTACCCTAGAAAATAAAAGAAGCCCTTTGCAGCCTCACCCATCCTAAAACTGGAAGACAGCTTAGGGGTTTCCTGAGGATGGCTGGGTTTTGCTGCATCTGGATCCCTAAATATGGTCTAATAGTGAGGCCTCTGTATGAAGAGTTGAAAGGAAGGGATGATCCTTTTGAATGGAATTCAGAATGTAAAGGGGACTTTCAGGAATTGAAAAAGCAGTTACTTCAATTCCCTGCCCTGGCCCTCCTAGATTTAACTAAACCCTTTGACCCTTACATTCAGGAGAAAAGGGGAATGGCCCTTGGGGTATTAGCTCAAAAACTGGGACCTCTTACTCAGGGTTGCATTTCTCTAAACAATCCAATCACTATATGGAAGTGCATTTGAACTCATGTGTGGTAGACCCCTTTGCCAATCCTGAAAGGACACCTTAACTCCCTTGAAATGGAACAACTCAAGTATGCCCTCCAGGTAAGAGAAACCATGAAAGCTCTCTTGGAACATGGTAACCAGGTACTGTTCCTGCCCACCAGGAGACTAAGTGTATCTAAAAACCTGGAAAACTGGAAGCCTGCAAGATCAGCTCACTCCTTAGTAGGATGGACCCCATTTGGTGATTCTGAGACAGGAGGGAAAGGGGCAGGACACGACAGCTAGATAAATGAAGAAGGGGCGCAGCTATTAGGATGCAATAAAAACTGGCTGGAACCAAGGTGACTTCGAGAATAGTCCGGTCATTGACTTTTAGCTCATTATATATTCATTGTAATACTAAAAAATCATACCCCCTTTTATGCCTTGACAGTCCAAGGCAGACTATAAAAGGCCAAAAAGTGGGCAGTGGCCCAATTTCTGGGAAATCCCTACCCTTCCCTGAAATAGCAAGAATATTCCTCCCACTCATTAGCATATGAAATTACTCAGCCCATAAAACCCAACAACCACATGCCCTGGGCCACTCTTACTTTCTGAGACAGACTGCATTCAGCCTATGGAGTGTGTATCTAAGTAAACTTGCTTTCACTTTTCTTTGGCTCACTCTTGAATTCTTTCCTGTGTGATGCCAATGACCCTCACTTGGTGGTCTGTCTTAGGACTCTTGTGGGTCCCAGGACATGACATTTTCCTCTGCTGCAACAATGCTAACCACCCATTCTTTCCTGAAGTTGCAGGTTATCACACTGTGGTTACATGACCCTCAAGTAAAGAGGACCCCGAGCCCCAAACTCTGGAGAGACAACCTGGGGCAACGGACCCCTTTGGCTACTCATGTGAACTTCTCTCTGACCTGAAGCTTCTCTCCTGAAAAACAACAGAAGTGTTACCAGGGATATGCAGGCCATAGTAGTGTGCCTCAACATCAGGGCAAACTTGCCTACAGTCAAAAGACCTAGATACCTGCATTTTTAGGAAAAATTTGCTCTTGCTAATACTTGAGCCATGTATGTTTAATTTTTTAATTTATTTATTTATGTATTTTAATTGGGCCATGTACCTTAAATTGTCTGGTGTCCCTTGTCTCCAAAAGGTTAGACAGGGAATTCCCTGGCAGTCCAGTGGTTAGGACTCAGTGTTTTCACTCCTGGGGCCCAGGTTCAATCCCTGGTCAGAGAACTAAGATCCCGAAAGCCGCGTGGCACGGCCAAAACAAAACAAGCAAACCCAAGGTTAGACAAATGGTGGTCACTCAGGGATATGCACAGTCAGGGCAAAGGCTTGGTGACAAACATATGTAAAGGTAGCTGGGGAGAAGTTCTGCTCCTCTACCCAGGGTTATGACGACTCCCCTGATCAGCCGAAAGAAGCTACAGAAGTCGGACCTTCTCCCCTTAGCACCCCTCAAGAATGAGGAGCGAGACAAAAATCAGAGGAGGGATTTGTCACTGGCAAAGACCATTAACAGTGCTCAGGAAATAAAAATAGAGTCTGGGTAATAAAATAAAATCTAACCTTTTTTCCCATTTGTCATTACTCTAGTTTCACTTGTTCATAGGCTGCCACATGCAGAGGCATTGCACCTGGCATTTCAGACCAGAGTTCCTGGTGCCAGATGGCTTCGATGGGCGGGCTGTGAGCAGAAGCCCTTGCCTGCGTGACACGGCAATTCAAGATGGTGGCAGCGGCAGCGGGCTGTGTGCAGAGACGCTGCACCTTACAAGTCTGGAGGCACAGCTGCAACCAACAGGAGAGAGCTCGCAGCTTCCCTGCTGGCCAGAACCCTATAAAGCAGCCCCGCCCATGGCCTGCGGGGAGAGCCTGTGCTCTAGAGCAGAAGCTTGCACCTCTCCATTCTCTGATCAAAGAATAAAGCTTTCTTTTGCTTATGAACCAAACTCTGTCTTTTTCAACTGTCCCAAATGACACCGGGCAGGAGGACACTTTTTGGGGCCCGACTTGAAAGCATCGGTAACAATACCAGGTATGAAACAACTGACTGATGGTATTAACAAAATTGATCCCACTGAGCCACCCCACAGCCAGAAGATAAAATAGGAAATTGTTGAAGCCAGTACCTATGCATAGTAAGAAAACTGGCTAAAACCCAGATCCAGTAGCATTTCTGGTTGAAGTGGGGACAAGTTGCCCTAGTCAAACTCTAACACGCCCTGGATCAAGGCATAGAAAGTCACCCATAAGGGCTCTCCACTGAAACAACACTGTTTGAAGCCTTGCGTTGCCTCTACAGCGACTAGTCACGTTGACGATCCCTATGTCTTATCCTCCAGGGGAAGGGTGGATTGGTCCCATCACTGTAGGTTGAGTGAAGACTGAGTTTCCAAGAGCAGTCACACACAAGTAGAGTGTGCTGAAACATACTAGACAGTATATTTTTCCATTTTAAAAAAACCTTTTCTACAAAAATAAACAAATGGGACCTAATGAAACTTAAAAGCTTTTGCAGAGTGAAGGAAACCATAAACAAGACGAAAAGACAACCCTCAGAATGGGAGAAAATATTTGCAAATGAAGCAACTGACAGAGGATTAATCTCCAAAAGTTACCAGCAGCTCATGCAGCTCAATATCAAAAAACAAACAACCCAATCCAAAAATGGGCAGAAGACCTAAGTAGACATTTCTCCAAAGAAGATATACAGATTGCCAACAAACACATGAAAGAATGCTCAACATCATTAATCATTAGAGAAATGCAAATCAAAACTACAATGAGATATCATCTCACACTGGTCAGAATGGCCATGATCAAAATATCTACAAACAACAAATGCTGGAGAGGGTGTAGAGAAAAGGGAACCCTCTTGCACTGTTGGTGGGAATGTAAATTGATAGAGCCACTATGGAGAACAGTATGGAGGTTCCTTAAAAAATTAAAAATAGAACTACTATATGACCCAGCAATCCCACTACTGGGCCTATACCCTGAGAAAACCATAATTTAAAAGGAGTCATGTACCAAAATGTTCATTGCAGCTCTATTTACAATAGCCAGGACATGGAAGCAACCTAGGTGTCCATCAACAGATGAATGGATAAAGAAGATGTGGCACACATATACAATGGAATATTACACAGCCATAAAAAGGAACGAAACTGGGTTATTTGTAGTGAGGTGGATGGACCTAGAGACTGTCATACAGAGTGAAGTAAGTCAGAAAGAGAAAAACAAATACCGTATGCTAACACATATATATGGAATCTAAAAAAAAAAAAAAAAAAGGTCATGAAGAACCTAGGGGCAAGATGGGAATAAAGATGCAGACCTACTAGAGAATGGACTTGAGGATACGGGGAGGGGGAAGGGTAAGCTGGGACGAAGTGAGAGAGTGGCATGGACATATATACACTACTAAACATAGATAGTGGGAAGTAGCCGCATAGCACAGGGAGATCAGCTCAGTGCTTTGTGACCACCTAGAGGGGTGGGATAGGGAGGGTGGAAGGGAGGGAGATGCAAGAGGGAAGAGATATGGGTACATATGTATATGTATAACTGATTCACTTTGTTATAAAGCAGAAACTAACACACCATTGTAAAGCAATTATACTCCAATAAAGATGTTGAAAAAATAAAAACACAATAAATTATATGTTTGAAATTAAAAAATAATAAAAATAAATAAATAAATAAAATGCATAACCAACAAGGACCTACCATATAGCACAGGAAACTCTGTTCAATGTTACATGGCAGCCTGGATGGGAGGGGAGTCTGGGGGAGAATGGATACATATAATGTATGGCTGAGTCCCTTTGCTGTGTACCTGAAATTATCATAACGTTGTTAATCGGCTATACTCCAATATAAAATTAAAAGTTAAAAAAAATTAAAAAACCTTTTCTTACGGAAAATTTCTAACATACTTAAAAGTGCAGAAAATAGTATAATAAACCCCCAGACATTACATCAACATTCTATCATTCTTGTTTCATCTATTCTTTTTTTTCTGAAGTATTTTAAAACAAATTCTAGACATCATATAATTTCCCTGTAAATATTTCAGTGTATATCTCTAACAAATAAGGCCTTAAGAAAATAATCACACAGACTCTTTCATAGGACAAAGAAGACACTTCTAAATCATTTTGTGAGGGCAACATTACCCTGCTATAAAAATCTGAAAAGGACATTTCAAGAAAAGAAAAATACAGACCAATATTCCAAGCTCACCAGTTTGCCCATTCCTTGAAATATTTAGTATTCACCATTATCAACAGCAATAATCAGAACAACAGTGTCCACCCGAAATGTTCCTGTAATCATGTTTTCTGTGAGGAGCCTGTGGTCCCTCAAATTTCATAAGGGAGATATTTATAATGATATCATGTTTACGTTCAGCCTTCAGTTTCAGGACTCAGGTGTCTTCCATCTCAGCAGCCTCCTCCAACGCTCAGTGGTTCCCTTCTTGATTTCACCACATTGTAATTCAAGTATGGTGGCCCTATCTGAATCTACTTTTCTTCTGACTTTGATGTTAATGTATTCTTTTCGTTTCCCATTTGTTTATTGGGTGGCAAACCCATGAGAAGAAAGACCCCTCTCATGAACTGGCTTAAATATCTCTCCTCTGGAAAGTTTTCTCTAAAGTCTGTTGACAGTTATTGATGCCTCCTGTCTGCTTCCTAAGTACTTTGTACATACTTCTTTTGTTGCACTTGTTATGCTGTGATTAATCTGATGTCTCCCTCATCAGACTAAATAGCCAGTGATTAACACATTGCTTGGCATAAAGCAGTTAGCTTAGTAGATGTCTGCTGAATGAAAAAGTGAATAATAAAAATACAGAGCTAGAGTTAGTGTAGATTACTTAAGCCCAGAAGAGTGTGCCTCTATAAATAAAATGTCTTCTAACTTCAACACACATAGAAATCAGAAAGCTTCAAAGGCCCTTACAAAAGGATAGGTATATTTTATGATTTCATTTTTAATATAATCCTTTTAAATTATAAAGGTTAAGTAGATCCTTGTTAAAAAAAAAAGACTCAAACAAATCAGACGTGTTAAAGTGAGAGGTAAGAGTTCTCTAAAAGGATGCTGCCAGTTTAGACTTCTTCATTAGTGTATAGTGGTGTGTATGTCCCTTGGACACTGCCTGTACTAAGCTTAATCTTTGCCAATTTGGTAAGTGAAAAACACTATTTCAATTTTTAAAAAAATTGTATTTATTCTAAGTGAAGTTGAGAATCTTTTAATATGTTTACTAACCTTTGATATTTATTTTTCTATGTTGTTTTTCTCAAAGCCACATCTCCAGTGCCTAGAACCATGCCTTGAATACACTAAGCATTCAGTAAATACCTATTAAACAACCGAATTGATTTTCTTTTTCGCCTCTTTTCCTATTGGGCTGTTAATTTTTAAATTTTGGTGTATAAGTGCTCTCTGTATATTAAAGAAATTGGCTTTTTTATGTGACTTGTGGTGATTTTTAGGTTGTTACATTAACTGTTTCTGTTATATTTATCAGCCTTTTCCTTTATTTTATTTTTTAAAAAATTCATACTTATCTGTTTATTTTTAGTGAATTTTAAATTCTGGAATAATTTTATTTTATGTTATTATTATTTATTTTTTAAATTGAAGTATAGTTGATTTACAATTAGTCTTTTCCTTTATGACTTCTGGATTCTATGGCAGGCTCAAAAGGGATCTTTCACTCCAAGGTTAAAAAATAATCTATGTTTCTTCTAGTACCTTTATGATTTTATTTTTCCATTTGACACAGTTTTGCTGCTTTGGCTACCCAGAGGAACACCCCATCTTTTTGAAAATCTCCTTCCCCCTCTACAAGCCCATGTGCTGGTAGTGGATGTCTATCAGAATCCATTGTTCCAGTGACTTCCCTGGTGGTCCAGTGGCTAAGACTCTGCACTCCCAATGCAGGGGGCCCAGGTTTGATCCCTGGTCAGGGAAATAGATCCCACATGCATGCTGCAACTAAGAGTTCGAAGGCCGCAACTAAAAGATCCCGCATGCAGCAACTAATACCCAGCGCAGCCTAAATAAATAAATATTTAAAAAAAAAAAAAGAGTCCATTGTTCCAGTTCAGCCAGCTGGGAACCAGAAGATCCTGTACATATATAGGAAAAGTACCCCAGCATAACTATAGATACCCAGTAATTTCCAGTCAGCTTCTGCGTTTCTCCCTGAATGCATTAATGTATACTTTAACTATTTTTTAATGGTATAGCTTTGTTCTGCCTGTGTCAGAAGTCTTGAAAAATGGGAGTAAAGGTCTAAACCAAGGCTGCACTGACCTTTCAGTCTGCTGGATAGCCCATTACCAGCATGAATTCAGTGTCTCCCTGTGCCTCTCACTCCAGACCTGGTTCTCATTGACTGACTCCTTTTCACTAACTTTCCCTCAAATTTACAAGTTGAGTCCAAAGGAAAGAAAACAGAGAACCACAGAACCACAGTTCCTAAGGAAAAAGATGGAACACACAGATGCTTCCTTCTGGTTAATGTCCCCGTCCTCTGGGAACTCTGCTCCAATATGTTTTTACAATCCCAAAAATGGAGTTTGGTAGGGCAAAGGGTACTGTGGAAAGTGTGTTGTTGACTGAAATGGAACGAAGTGTCTCCTTGAGTGGCGAGGCCTAGCACTGCCATCTCTCTGGTGAAGGAAGAGCCTGAAAAACAGAGAGGACTTCTAAGAGTTGACTGTGGTGGAGAGGATGCTGGAAAACTGCCTGAATGTTTCATGCTTTTCACTTTTTTTTAAAAATTGAAGTATACTTGATTTACAATGCTGTACAGCATTGAAGTATAGTTAATTACTGCTGTACAGCAAAGTGATTCAGTTCTCTGTGCTATACAGTAGGACCTTGTTGTTTATTATGCTTTTCATAGAATAAGTGGACCTGTTAAGAGCTAGCTGGATTTGGTCCTCTTGGAGCAAGGGGTTTGCTCTCCCTGGGACTTGGCTTGAGCACATATCAATGGGAGACAAGCACATAGAAGCTCTTCTAGACCCTGCCCAGTATGCTCCCGACATGGGGAAAGAAAACAGGCTGGTGGTAGAAACAACCTAGAACCCTTGATTGAGTTTGTCTCTTGCTTTAAAACTTGAGGGGAACCTGTCTTCTCCTTCAGAGTCCATTGTGCCATGCATGGTTCAGTTCCAGCCTTCTTTGTCATGTCACTTCTAGCACTGGCATGAAGTCAAACTGGTTTCTCCCCTTTGTTAGATCTGACACACAACATTCCCCAGGCATACATTGCCTGCACTGGCAAAGAGAAGAGATGATGAGTAGTTATTCATCCTGTCCCTGACATCTGTCCAGATATAGTCCAGATTTATGGGGTATGAATTCAGATAAGGATAGGCCTGGGACATGTACAGGTATTCAAGGTTGCTAGGGACCAACTGAGGAATACTCTCTCAGCCTCACAGGACCTTTAGATTTGGGCTAGAACCAGACTGGTCTCTGGGCTGTCCTATTATCACTTTCTATTTGAATTCAGTGATAACCTTGCTGGGATTATTCTGAACAGCTAAAATGTGGACACATCCACTAACAGATAAATTTAAGAACACCTCTAGTTTTTGTTTTTGTTTTTTTTTTTCATTTTGTTTTGTTTTTAGCATTGTCTAGGAAAAAGAAGGGGGCCCTGGAGGATGCTGCTGGGGAGATCTGGTCTCTAAGTTCTTCATGCTGTTCCTTTTCTATTTTACAGCTTTATTGAGATACATTCATATACCACACAATACATCAATTTAAAGTGTACAATTCAGCAGTTTTAGTATATTCACAGTTACATGCAACTATCACCACAATCAATTTTATTTATTTATTTATTTATTGCCGCTCAGCGCTGCATGCAAGAACTTAGTTCCCCAACTAAGGATCGAACCCGTGCCCCTTGCAGTGGAAGCGCGTAGTCTTAACCACTGGACCGCCAGGGAAATCCCCACAATCAATTTTAGAATATTTTCACCACCTCAAAAAAGAAACTCCGTACCCTTTAGCTATTACCGCCTCTTCCCACACCCTTCCCTGCCCTAAGCTATCACTGATCTACTTTCTATCTCTATAGCTTTTCCTATTCTGGACATTTCACACGCATAGAATCATGTAATATGTGGTCTTTTGTGACTGACTTCTTTCAGTTAGTGTAATGCTTTCAAGGTTCATTCATGTTGCAGCATGTGCCAGTACTTCATTCCTTTTTATTAATGAATAATATTCCATTGTATGGATACCCCACATTTGTTTACCCATTCATTGGTTGATGGACATTTAGGTATACCTTTGGCTATTATGAATAATGTTGCTATGAAAATTTGGGTACAAGTTTTTGTGTGGACATATGTTTTCATTTCTCTTGTGTCTATACCTAGGAGTGGAGTGCTGGATCAAATGGTAGCAATGTACTTAACATTTTGAAGAACTGCCAGAATGTTTCCAGAGTGGCCCCACCATTTCACACTGTTATTGTCCTTTATTTCTTGTGTCCCACTTACCCTCATGGTAAGTTTTCATATTCTTCCGACTTCAAGGTAGAAACTGAGGCTACCACTTCAGATGAGATATATGAAATCTCAAACTACATGGAAGATATTATCGGCATCAGAACTATCCGCTGCACCTACCTCTAAGGCAATATTAAAAATTATCCTTCTATAGATATTTGAACACATCCTCATAACAATCTAACACTCCCTGTTATATCTTTCCTATTATGAAATAACCACAAAGGAGAAAAG